GCCTCTACTAACCGTGGTATCTATTTTTGAAAACATTGTGAGTTCTTATTCCGGTTATTAGCCTAGGTTACTATGTGATGCACACAGCATATAAGTATAGAATGGGTCGCCCGAATTGAAACAAAACATTTCATGTTTGTGTTTTGAAAGATGGTTTGCTACTCGCAAATAGGCTTAAAATGCAGATTTTGCCACCCGCAGGTGGGCTTAGGAAAAGATGGTTTTGCCACTATCTAGTGGGCTTAAAACAAACAGTTGATGATTTATTCCAATCCAAGTAACCCAACCTTCACCCACAAGCATTCAGGCAGTTATATCACATAAGCAAATAGCCTCATGGTAAGCATGCTATTCATGGTAGTCACTCACACGCATGCAAGGATGCTAAAACATAAAACTTACCGAGTACTCCAAGCCAAAACAGAAACTAATTAGAAATCATGCATGATCCTAAGTATACAGAAATGCCTAATGTAACACACGCAAAAATGCAAACTATAGCAGGCTCGACTATTCTAAACATGGCATATGGAATGCTACAGCTAACAAGTATTCAACTTTAGAATTGAAATACAATGCAGTTAGTATGATGCGCCGAGCCCGGTGCATGCAAAACAGATGAATGATGCAAACATGCTGTCATACTGTATGCTAATTTAAATATGCCCTAATCTAACCATCAAAAGCGGATAAATAAAAGGGAGAAAGACGTGGGGTTGGAAGACATACAACACACTCACGCCCACTTATTACAGTTGTGCCCTCGCGCAGAGGGTCCGAATAAATATACAGTCCCGAGTAAAAGAATATTACAGTCCAAATGATACAGTCCAAATAATGTACAAATTCCTAATTAATTAATCAAATTAACTAAGAAAACTGTAAAACTGGCGTGCAAGCCAAGGACTGCCTTGCTCTTGATAAATGATGCATGTCTGGGCTGCCTTTGCGCGGAAATCCATGACGATGCCCCAATTAGCCTCTGTTTAGCAGTTATTCTTGAAAAGCGTGCCAAGTCCCGAAAAGTTGCTGATTCAATGAAGTGCCTCGAAATGCGTGCACATGGGCACGCAAACCGAGGCAATGGTATATGCAAAGCAATGGCATGGAAATGGCATATAGAATGCAACATGGACTTATACTAACATGAGAGAGCCTCAGCCGCACTCACATAAGAGGCCGGTGGATGAAAATGAAGTGCCTCGAAACGCGTGCACACGGGCACGCAAATCGAGGCAATGGCATATGCAATGCGATGGCATGGAAATGGCATGGAAAATGCAACATGGATTTTCAGCAATGAAATGTGGGGGAAAACAGCCCCGAAATGAGGCGAAAACACACCCGATGCATGGGATCTCTCCCGAAATGCAAAATTAGGCACATAGAATGAACTACAGCTATACAAAGCATGCATAATTGGTACATGGAATGAAAAGTCAGAAGCAAGGAAGCCCCAAAATAAGCATTTTACCAGTATAAGTCATGGCCAAACAGCAAGCAAAGATAGGGCAACAATGGCATGCAAAAATGGCCCTAAACATGAGATTATGAAGCAACTCATAGCTGCTAACTCCAAATAGGTTAGGGCCCTTCAACAACATTGAAGAGGGGCCAAAAATAAGCCACTTTACAGAACTGTAAAAACCCTAAAAACAAACATAGATATGGCCGATGGATGAAAATGAAGTGCCTCGAAATGCGTGCACACGGGCATGCAAACCGAGGCAATGCATACGCAATGCAAATAACATGGCAATGGCATACAGAATGCAACATGGACTTATACTAACATGTGAGGGCCTCAGCCACACTCACATAAGAGGCCAATGGATGAAAATGAAGTGCCTCGAAATGCGTGCACACGGGCACGCAAACCGAGGCAATGCGTACGCAATGCAAATAACATGGAAATGGCATACAGAATGCAACATGGACTTATACTAACATGAGAGAGCCTCAGCCACACTCACATAAGAGGCCGATGGATGAAAATGAAGTGCCTCGAAATGCGTGCATACGGGCACGCAAACCGAGGCAATGGCATACGCAATGCAAATAACAAAAATGGCATATAGAATGCAACATGGACTTATACTAACATGAGAGAGCCTCAGCCGCACTCACATAAGAGGCCAATGGATGAAAATGAAGTGCCTCGAAATGCGTGCACACGGGCACGCAAACCGAGGCAATGGCATATGCAACGTAAATGACAAAAATGGCATATAGAATGCAACATGGACTTATACTATCATGAGAGAGCCTCAGCCGCACTCACATAAGAGGCCGATGGATGAAAATGAAATGCCTCGAAATGCGTGCACACGGGCACGCAAACCGAGGCAATGGCATACGCAATGCAAATGACATGAGAACATGATATGCAAACACGCTAATGGATTTTCAGCAATGAAAAGTGGGGGAAAACAGCCCCGAAATGAGGCGAAAACACACCCGATACAGGGAATAGTCCCGAAATATGAATTTTGGCACCCGAAATGGCCTACAGCTATACCAAACATGCACAATATGGACATGCAATGAAAATACAGAAGCAAGGCAGCCCCAAAATATGCACTTTTCCAGTTTATAGCATGGCCAAACAGCAAACCAAAACAGGGTAAAACTAGCATGCAAGAAATGGCCCTAAACATGAGATTAAGAAGCAACTCACATCTGCTGTCCTCAAACAGGTTAGGGCCCTTCAACAAAGATGAAGAGGGGCCCAAAATAAGCATATTTTCAGAACTATAAAAACCCTAAAAACAATCATAGACAAGGCTAAGTTCTTATGCAAGAAAAAGGGCCAAAATGTGGCCAAAGAGGCAAGTGGTATATGCAATGCCCAAACTAAAAAATTCCCTTCTACAACATTGAAGAGGGACCAAAAATATGACTATTTACAGAACTGTAAAAACCCAAAAACAGTATACAAACATGCTAGAAATGCAATGCAAAATGAGGCCCGAAAGAGGCTATAACACAAAGTATGCAAAATATTCATCAAACAAGCAAAGACCCTTAATAAAACATGTTAAGGAGGTCAAAATAAGGCTCTAGGCCTATAAATCGTCCAAAAATGGAAGCATAGTGGGCTGCCAAAGCATGCAAGAATGGGGACCAAAAGAGGGATATTCAAGCAAGTGCAATATGGGGGCCTCAAACAGGGTTGAGCCCTTAATGAAACAAGAAAATGAGCTCAAAACAAGGCCACTTTCAGTTATGGCTGGAGCTCAAAACAAAAAGCATGTATGGCTTAAAGATGGTGCCAAAATGAGCTAGAAAAGAGGGCAATTGGACTTACCTTTGAAGACCAACACTTTTGTTGCTTCTTGGACCAGATTTGGTGACTCTAAGCTGCTGGAATTCTTCCCCTTGCTGCTGGAATGGAGTGGTGATGGTAGAGCTTGAAGATGATGAAGAAATGGAGCCCAAAACTTGAAGGAAATGGGGTCTCAACCTGAAGAAGCAGCAGGCCGACCTATCACTTTTGTTGCAGGTGGCCGGCCGGCCACTTAACATAGCCGGCCGGCTAGGTCAAAGAAAAAAACGGCCGGCCGGCCAGAAAAAAAGGCCGGGCACCCCCTAGGATGAAGCCCCAGAAGTTAGCTTTCCAATGGCGCAAACCTTGCATTAAAATTCCTCCTGTAGAAAAAGTTATGCCCTTTTCCGTGAAGCCGCGCAGATTCAGTCCAAGTGGACTTCAACCAACCACATCTCTCCCTCCGGGACTTGGACTTGGGAGATTCTTGAGTGCAAAATGAAGCCCCGGAAGTAAGCTTTCCAATGGTGGTGGCCTCATATCTTAATTCCTCTTGTGCAAAGAGTTACGCCCGTTTCGGTGAAGCCGCGCAGATTTTTCTCCTTCCCGGATTCATGCTGAACCACTTTTGACCAAAAAGAAGTTGGCTTTTCAGCAAAATTGCTGGCCTCCCACCCTCCTACAAGCTTTCTAACAGTGAAAATAAGGTCTCCACCAAAAATGAGCCCAAACCGATGCAAAATGAAGGTTCGGGGGCCAAAACGCGCAGCCCGAGGCCCCGAAAACTGGCTGTTAGGCACCGGGAGCGGTGTTCGACCACGAAGTGGGTCTCTCAGACCTCAGTGTCCCTCAAAA